CAGGCCTCTCTGGGCCCCCCCCCTGCTCCCCCCCGCCCCGCGGGTGCACTGACACTGCCTGTGCCCCTGCACTGCTGCCACCCGGCCCGCAGATGCACTAAGGCTCTCTGTGCCCCTGCACTGCTGCCACCCGGCCCACAGCTCGGGTTGCTCACGACCACCAGCCAGTGGTAATTATTAAAACAACCCAAACATGGCTTAGGAGAGCTGGCGGGGGCTCACCAGTCCCAGACGATAGGACAGACTCACTATGCCACCACCGTGCCCAGTGTCCACGCTCTGAGCCCTGGCCAGTACGGTGACATTTCCCATGGTGCACACTGCAGGACACTCCTCCGGAGATGTGGGCACAGTGCATTCTGATAGTTCGGGCACCTTCCCCCATGGCTGCAGGGCTCAGACGGGCATCCTGCCAGTGCCTCCCTGGGAACCTGGGCCAGCAGGTTCTCTGCGGCACACACAGCACCCTGATGTGGCTGGTCCTCACTCTCCCAAGGATACTTCCACCCACACTGAGGCCGTCCCACCGGCATTTCCAGGGCTGGCCTCGGTGACACGGGAGAAGCTGTGCCCATGTGGAGTGTCCCAACCCTGCCAGACATACAGGCAGCCAGACCTGGGGGAGGGGTTGGGCCCATGGGCGGAGCTTCATGGATAGGACTAGGGGTTCATAAGGAGATTGGAGATCCCCAGGCCAACTTCGCCAGGCGAGGACACCGCCAAGGCCAGAGCCACCTCCAGACCCCAGAGAACCTGCACCGCCATCTGGGAGCCCCAGAACTGGGAGGGACAAACTCCAATGTCTGCCTGGGCCCAGCCCAGGCCGAAGCAGTGAAGGCGAGAGTGACCTTCCACACCTTCGGGAGCGTAAGAGCGTAAGGACGCAACATTCGTCCCCATAAAACTTCAACTACGTCATTTACAGTATACCTTCTCAGAAAAAGCCTCGGCTATATCAAAACTCTGTTAAGATGTGACGATTCTATAATACTAAAGGAACAGCAATATGAAAGAGGCTTTTCTTGCCAATAAAATTAGAATTTAAAAAATAAAAATATCCTCTCTACTGCATGAGAGTCAAGCACAGATGTCAGGGTACACTAAGAGAACAAAACCGTGAACCAGGTCCAAGGAGTCCTCGGTCAAACTGTCACCTAGCACTGTGTTACGAGAAGTGGAAAATAATACCAAGTTTGGAAAAGCAACTTGACAGCATGTACTGAGAAGTGCAAAATAAATACATCCTTTAACTCAGGAGTTCTAGTATGACTCTATTCTACGGAAACAATCACCTCAATATGAAACGAACTGTTACGTGCAAACGTGATCAGTGATGGATTATTAAAATGATTTTTTTTAAAAAAATGCAACTTCCGTGTCTAAAAGCAGCAAAAATGAGTGGTTAATTTGTGACTTTCACTCACTAGAATGCTGTGTGTGCGGACATGCATCCGAGTAAAAACTAAAGCCACACAGTGGGTACTGGAAGGTGGCACGAGTCGTTATTTCTAACGCTACCCTTACCTGGTGAGATTCTGGACTTTTAACATATATTTCAAACCGTCATTTTAATAGTAAAGTATTATTTTTTTATTTACAAACCTTTAGGGTCAGCCAGGTGGCATGGTGGTGAAGGTGGCTGGATGCCCCTTGGCCAACTGCACGGTTCAAGTCCCAGGCCTGGCAACTTGAAAATCATGCCGAGCATGTGTGCGTGCATGCCCAATATCCCGAGAGGAGAGTGGAGAAGGATGGTGGCATGGCCACCTCCCCTGGGGAGTGTTTTCTCACTTTCCCTTTCTCGCCCTCCTTTCCCTGGCAGGTATGTGCACCCTATAGAAAATGTAAACAAAATAAGTTTTATTTTAAAAAAATGCATTAGCACTCGTAGCAAAACGGAAATAAACATTAGGAGAGCTCAAAGCCTCGTAACGCACATATCCAGGAACCCTGTATCACACAGCTGACGGGCCTGCAAAGGCAGACAGCAGCACCCACATGGGAGACCCGGAAACACACTTCCTTCTCCAAAGCAGCGGAGAGAAGGCGGCCGGCGGCGCGCTTGGGTGGGGAGGGGCTTACGTAGTTGTCCCGCGCGGACCAGCCCGGGTAGAGCTGCATGTGTAGCTGTCTTTCTTTCCGTGCTAATTCGTAGTATTTCGCCTGTTCTTCACGGGAGAGGGCGTGCCACTGAAACAGAGACGGGGGGAGAACAGGTGTCAGCAACGTAGCACTGGAACGTGCCACAAAACGAGCCCCCGGCCAGGCCCGCGGAGGTGCTCTGTGAGGGCGGCACACCGGGGCCCCGCCAGGCAGTGGCTGCGGGGGCACCAAGACTCCGCGGGCACCATCCTGCTCCCCCGTGCACCATGAAACACGCGAAAGGTGACCGTCGCCCTCGAGCAGGAGGGACACTGGCATCCTCCCCTCCGGTGCACGCTACGAGAACATTCCTGGGGAGCCCTTGCTCACATTTGGGGCGTATTCTGAGACCTGAGCCCCAGTGCTATTTATTTATGCAAAATGTGGAGGCTTCTGGATGACCTGTCTCACTGACGCACCCTCCCCTGACGCGAACATGCGGCCGCTCTGTCGTGGAGAGCATGGAACCTTTGTCATATGATCTTGTCTGCAGGGGAGGGCCGCAACAGTCCATCAGTCTGTCAGTCTCCTGGCTGTCTCCATGGTAACTGTCAACAGGGTGGCACTGCAGTCTCGCACACACACACCTGCACATTTTACGGCAGGTTTCTGGCTTCCTCCGGTGGAAAGCAAGGAGCACTGTCTCTGGATTCTGCCGTCTGGAACCCAGGCCGTGCCATCACACACTCGTACCGGCCGGCACCCTCCAGCCCTCCCCTTCCGCTGTACAAGACCGAAGTGCACCATACTCGGACATCCGCACCGACGCTGCAGGGCGCGAGTGGCTCCCCTGCACCCTGCTCTGCAGTGTCTGCGCACTGCTCACCCAGGCCCCCGGCACGGTCTGCAAGCATCCCCCTACTCCGCCCGTGCCAGGGCCTGCAGCAGGACTGCTAGGAAAGCTGGCTGGCCGCAGAGGTATCGGTGGCTGCGGAAAGGGACCACACACCGGCGCTCTCCCTGTCTCGGTGGGCCAGGAGCCTGCGTGACCCTGCTACCCAGCTGGCGGGCGAGGCACTTCCCATTCTGTCTCCTCCCCACCATGGCTGCCCTGCATGCTGATTTTGAGCTCCCCACTCTGGCCTTTAAAAATGATAGGAAGGAGGGACCAGCAGATAGTATAACGGTTATGTCGCTGGATTCTCGCATAGTTGACTGTGGTTCAAGTCTCGGACCCAGCAGCTTAAAACTCATGCCGAGCGCATGTGGGTGTGTGCACAAGATCCTGAGAGGAGAAGGGATTGCGGTGTGGCCATCCCCCTGGGGGTGATTTCTTGCTTTCTGGTTCTCTGTCTCTCTGGTGAGTACACACACCCTACTGCAAAAATCTCTCTTAAAAAAAAAAGAAAAGAAAGAACAGCATGGGTGGACTGGGGAAAGGAAGGAGACAAGGAGGGAGACAGGCCACCTGGAGGAGGTGTCCACAGTCTCATCAGCTCAGATGTAATGTCCCAAAGCACAGCCCGACACTTGCCCTCCTTAAGGAAGCAAACACCTGCCTTGGGCATCTAGGGCACCTTCCCGTCCCCCACCTGGCACTCCAGTCTCGGGCAGGGCAGGGTGCCAGGCACCGGACTCCAGTTCTCTGACAGCCCTTCGGAGCCAGTCCTTGGTGCTGGTAGGGCAGGGACTTACTTTTCAATCGCTTTAGAAGCGCAGGGTGTAAAGTTAAAAATGCATGACATATCGCAAGATGTGGCCAGAGCCTAAAGGAAAACCAGGTAGTCTGTTTTTATTTAAAAAGAAAAGAGATCGCTTGGGGGGGGGGGCTGAAAAAAGTGATCTGAAACACAGTTCTTTGTACTTGTAGGAAAAACCAGGACCAGCCAGACTGAGGCCAAGAAGGAGGCCATTCAGAAGAGGGAGATGAGGGGGACAAGGCGGCCCGCTCCAGCCAGGAGTGCATGTCCACACCCGAGATGGGCCTGCACCATGTGGTGGGTTTTGCTCAGTTTGCACTGGACCCAGCGGAGGAAAAGGTTACCAGAAGAGAAAAGAGATGAGCAGACCAGACTCCTGCCGAGTTCGCCTATGTGCCCACAGGAGTAAGACACCGGAACTTCATGTAGCTTATACCAGTGGGAGCTTTGTAACTGGCTGAGAAAACCCAGAATCATAAATAAAAGCTAACTCCCAAAACATATATCAAGATTGGGGCTTACCCCAACCCAAACAGGTACGTTTCAGTTAAAGCAGAAACAGGTGGACAAAGTATCCCAGCTAACTAAACGGAATAAAATGCAAGTGGAAAAAGGGCTGGCCCTGTGCCCACGGCCCACTGAGAGGTGCCTTCCCCCTTTCCCTCTGCATCTCTCTGTCTCCTCTCTCTGGCAAGCAAAAAAAAAAAAAAAAAATTAAAGTAGGGAGCAGAGGAAGGTATAAACTACAACTATTTGAATTTCTCAGTTGCTTTTAGATCGAATGGATACAACCTACTGACAAAAAAAGAAAAAAAATCACTGACCCAAAGTAAAACAGTAGATGTAAGAGTAGTGCTGGGGTTGGCTGCCTGGCCTGGCGGTTTGGGAAGCTGGCTCCCACACGGCTGACCACGTGGTTCAAGTCCCAGAGAAGCCAGAAACACGCCGGGAGCATGTGTCTGAGATCCCCAAAGCAGGCAGAATCGGAGAAAAAGGTATGACATGCTGTCACCCCCTGGCAAGTACACTCAGCCCCTCTAACAACGATGACAACAAAACAGAAGGAAAAGAAAGTATCAAAGTCTTGCACTGGAGACAGAAATAAGGACCAGCCCCCCGCACAGTAGGTGAGGACTGCATGGAGGAAGCCACACCCACACGGCCACCAGGCTTCGAGTCCCAGCCCCCAGCCTGAAACATGCAGACAGACAAAGTATGTGTGCGCAGGAGCCAGGCACAGTGGAGAACTGAAGAAACGGGGTGCTCCCTCCCCATCTCTCTTGCACGAACACACTGCCTCTGCACGGAACAGAAAAGACGCAGCAGAGGCTAGACAGAGCCTTTTCTGGGGCAAGAATTTGCAGAATAGACTAAAAATGCTTTCCTTTCTCTTTGCTTATTGAAAATAAAAAATTAAAAAAAATTTTTTTTAAGGTTTTTGCCATAGAGTGTGTGTGCTCACCGGAGAAAGGAGGAGAGGGTTAAAGTGAGAAATCATCCCCTTGGGGTCATGGCCATGCCACAGTCCCTTCTCCTGCATTCTCCTCCTGAGGTTTCAGGCATGCACGCACAGGCCTGATGTGATGTTCAAGTCACGGGGTCCAGGACTTGAACTGCGTCAGCCACGTGGGAGTCTAGCGCTTTAACCACTATGCCACCTGCTGGCCCCCAAAGCAAAGTTTTTAAAAGATGAAAATTTCATGGTAAAAATTTCTCCATGGGAAAATACTCATTTAATTCGAAAAAAGCATATAGCATGCCAAGATCAAACATTTTGATTATCTGTGATAACCAGGAGAGTCTAAAAGAAAAAAAGCTTATTTAAAACAAGATTTGTGCTATTATTTAAAATATGAATTATGAAGAAAACTTTACTTAAATAATACTTCTATTTTAAGAGTTACATAATAATGAATAAAAACGAAAATAGACCGGGTTCCAGGCTGGAACAGCTCCACTTCCGAGCACTCTAATCACTCCAGTGTAAAACGTCATGGTTTTAAAGGCAGGGACTTTAAAGAGCCAGTGAAGACTGCTCCGCCAGAGGGGAGCTGTGAAAGGGTAGAAAGCCTGATCTTCATCAAAGATCTCAGGGACTTATAAATAGAAACAGTTGTCTAAATCAAAGACAGCGAGATCCCAAATGAGAACCATCCCCAGGACCGGGCTCGGATCTGGGGATTGTTAAGGCAGTGGAGAAAGTAGCAGCCGCTGGAAGAGGGCTTTAAAAATCGGGAGCCCATCTCCAGCTCACAGCCTCGCTTTCTTGGGCAGCAAAGTAATTTTCACTGGAGGGCCAGGGGGCCCGCCTCAAAAAAGAAAAAAGAAAGAGCCAAGAGTTTTGCACAAGCAGAAATAAAAATGTCAACCCTTCTTTTCCTCTTGAGTTCTTCTTTTAAAGGAGTCAAGGAAAATGGTCTTCAGCCTTTCAGCTTTTAAGGCAGGGTTCTTCAGAGATGATGGGAATCGCTCGTCGGCTCTGAGCTGCCTTGGGAAATCAGTGTAATTATTGTTATTAAGTGTTTAGGAATCCACAGGGAGACAGGGCATTGTACACAGGATACCAAAGAACCTATCATCTCCCGCCGCACCCTGCCCTGCAACCCTGGTGTCTTGCAGATTGGAAATCACTGCATTTCTAGGCAATCCGAAGGGAATCGATCACACCAGAGGCCTGCTCCCTCCTGCCCTTCACTGTGCGCTGTTACGGACGCGCCTGTCACGGACGCGCTTGTCTACGAGGTTTGGAACAGACATGGTAAAAGCTGTCGCCAAGACGGCAGGCAGTGAGCCTCTGTTCACGAGGGCTGTCGGGCCTCCTCACCTGAACGCTTATCTGCAGACCATGAATCTCCTGAGAGGTTGCAAAACCAAATGCACAAGGGCCGTAAGTGGAAGAGCGATCTCACACACGTGAAGAGCATCAAGTTAAGGTGAAGTGTTTCTAAAAGTGTGTGGTTAAAGTGCAAATGTAACTGCACTAGAGGCATTCACACACACCACTCTTCCCATCCCTCACTAATGCGGCTGGTCATCTGCGGGGAGCACCTGGCAAGAATAACCAGCCTTCCGGCTGCCCTGGTAGCCTCGCCTGGTTCATACCTAACGGGCGCTCCGAAAGACATCAGCATGGACAAGAGGAGGGATGAAAAGACGAGGGCGGGCCAGAACCTGGCACGTGCACACGCCAGTCCCCACCTTCTAGGCCCAGGCTTCTCCAGGTCACAGACATTCTTCCATGTCAGCCTCACAGTAGGACAGGTCAGCTTCTGTCTTCAGAGAGCAGCCACTTCTGTTTGCCAGGCTGGTGCCCCCAGGCCTGGCAACAGCTCCCTGGGTGGGCAGTGTGCTCTCTGGCACCCACGTGTGCACATGCACATCATGACACCCATGACCACGTCTGTCTTCCATCCCCAGCTCCCAGTGGGCGGCACGTGCACACCACGACACCTGTGACCACGTCTGTCTTCCGCCCCCAGCTCCCAGTGGGTGGCGCGTGCACACCGCGACACCAGTGAGCACGTCTGTCTTCCGCCCCCAGCTCCCAGTGGGTGGCGCGTGCACACCGCGACACCAGTGAGCACGTCTGTCTTCCGCCCCCAGCTCCCAGTGGGTGGCGCGTGCACACCGCGACACCAGTGAGCACGTCTGTCTTCCGCCCCCAGCTCCCAGTGGGTGGCGCGTGCACACCGCGACACCAGTGAGCACGTCTGTCTTCCGCCCCCAGCTCCCAGTGGGTGGCGCGTGCACACCGCGACACCAGTGAGCACGTCTGTCTTCCGCCCCCAGCTCCCAGTGGGTGGCGCGTGCACACCGCGACACCAGTGAGCACGTCTGTCTTCCGCCCCCAGCTCCCAGTGGGTGGCGCGTGCACACCGCGACACCAGTGAGCACGTCTGTCTTCCGCCCCCAGCTCCCAGTGGGTGGCGCGTGCACACCGCGACACCAGTGAGCACGTCTGTCTTCCGCCCCCAGCTCCCAGTGGGTGGCGCGTGCACACCGCGACACCAGTGAGCACGTCTGTCTTCCGCCCCCAGCTCCCAGTGGGCGGCACGTGCACACCACGACACCCGTGAGCATGTCTGTCCTCCGTCCCCAGCTCCCAGTGGGTGGCACGTGCACACCGTGACACCCGAGAGCACATCTGTCTTCCGCCCCCAGCTCCCAGTGGGCGGCACGTGCACACCGTGACACCCGTGATCACATCTGTCTTCTGTCCCCAGCTCCCAGTGGGTGACGCATGCACACCGCGACACCAGTGAGCACGTCTGTCTTCCGCCCCTAGCCCCTGTGACTTTCTCTTGGAGCCTTGCTCGCACATCACAGCAGTTACCACAATCCCCATGACACACGACTGGGTACTTCTCCATCTCATGCCTGCACCCCGTCTCAAACTCTTAAGCTCCAGAAAGGCAGGGACCACGCTGCGTATCTGGCTCTGGATCACCTGACGCCCAGCACCGGGCCGGCTGGAGACGCGCAGTGCATCTTGTTTATCTTTTTTTTTTTGGAGAGGGGTTTGCATGTTGTTTAAAGAATGCTGTTGGGACCAGCAGTCAGTGTAATAGTTACAGTTACGTCACTGCATGCCCACGGGGTAGACCACGGTTTGAGTCCTGGACCTGGTGGCTTAAAACTCAGAGCAGGCACGTGTGCGTGTGTGTTCAACATCGCGAGAGAGTGGAGAAGGGCCTGTGAGAGGGGGTTGCGGTGTGGCCATTCCCCAGGGGATGTCTGTCTCCGGCGAGCACACGTGCCCTATGGCAAAAGTCTCTAACAAAAAGCTAAGTGTAAATGTGGCTACTTATGGAAGGGCTCCCGAGTTGACAAGCACAACTGCCTCACCTCGGCCTCCCGAAGGCTATCCCCGTCCCTCGCACCCCTCACTGCCTCCGCCAGCGTCTGCCGCCTGTGCGGGTACACTCAGTGCCCACAGCCCAGCGAGGCGGGCCTCGGCGGCCGCGGATTCCCCAACTCACCCTCCTGCCCAAGATCTGGTTGATGGCCGCGCTCTCCTTGAGGGTGCACTCGGCTACGACGTTCGCTCTCATCTCTTTCATGTATAACATAAAAGCGTTCAGAGGCTTCTTAATGTGAGGTCTTTTTGGCTCCTGCTCCTTTCTCTGTTCGTGCTGAGGCTTCCTGAAAGGCGGTGGCGGTGATGTGGCCAGGGGAAGGGGCACGAGGGGAGGGAGGGCGAGAAAAGCACAGCATCTGTCCACACGGCTGCTCCACAGCCCCCGACGGCCGTCCCGGAGGAGCAGCGGCTGCCTCTCAGGGTGGACTCTGCCAACAGCACCCTCGGCCTGACAAAGTGCCCCTGTAGCCACAGAGGGGCTCAGCCAATGGGAAGAGGGCCTGGAACTGTGGGGTGCCCGTCTCAGGCCTGAGACCGAGTTCCTCGGTGGCCTCTGACCACAGGTGCAGGGACCAGTGCTCTTTGAGGACAGAGGTCCGTGGCTTCCGGGGAGGTGAAGGGCCGCTGTGAGGAGCTCAAAGAACCTCAGGCCCTTTCCCCACAACCCTGGCCACACTGACAAGCAGCAGGAGGGCTCCACAGGTCCTCGCCTGCGGCCTGCCATCCCCACCCCAGCCCATGCACCCGGCCAAGGCAGCTCAGCCACCAGGCTCCCGGGGAACCCGCCCAACCCTGCCCTAAAAGTTGGGGCCAGGTGGCCCAGGAGGTGGCCAGGCTCCACCTGCTCCCTTCTCGGATCCGCGTGGGCGCCTCAGAGCGGGGCAGCAGCACACCAGGACGCACTAACCCCTGCTGCTCACTCGCCTCAGGCTAGCAGGTCTCCCCACGGTCCGAACCGATTTAAAGCCTGCCATCAGCGGCAGCCCAGGGAGCGCCCTCCATTTTGTGTGGCCGCACTTCTGAAGGTGCTCCCTTCCAATCACAGCCAGCCAGGGAGCGCCCTCCGTTTCATGTGGCCGCACTTCTGAAGGTGCTCCCTTCCAATCAGAGCCAGCCAGGGACGATCAACAGGACAAGGGCAGAGGGGATGGCCGGGGCAGGGGAGGCACTGCACCCGCATGCCGGTGCAGGTGGAATGTGCGTTCTCACACGCACACACCCACGCGTACTCACACGTGCATTAGGTCGCCGTCCGTGTGGGGGTGCTCCTGTTTGACCTGAGGCGTTACGATGGCGGGGTGAGGGATGCCGGTTGTGTGGGGACCGGGAGGGCCAGGGATCATGTGATGGGAAAACCTGGAAGAAGGCGAGAAGAGAAGGGAGAGTAGGACCCAGGCCCGCAGACACCGACAGGCTTCCATGACCGGCCTACGGCATGGCCTGCCAGCGAGGGCCGGGCTCTGGGCTTGGGACCGACCGGGGCTGACGGTCAGTATCCTTTTTCTTTCTATATTGAGGTGAAAATTTTTATAACTATTCCCTGTAGTTTTTTTCCAACTAAGAACATCTAACCTTTTTTTTCCTGATCAATCTGGTATTTTCCATAGGATGGAAAAAGAGTGAATGGTTTTTTACAAAGCAATTTTCAAATGAGAATTTTGGTAAGAGTAATTATTGGAGATACGATTGATTAAGACTTGGCTCTTTCCGTGACGTTTCAGCGACAGCTAAAAGTCACCTCTAGAAATCTGCCTGCAGGCTAACGCCAACACCACGCCAGGTGCATTTCGCTGGCTTCTTCTCCAGCAGGAAGGGACATGAGACATGGTCCCGGGAGAGTCCCAGTCTCCCACTTAATAAGGTTCTATTAACAGCGTCCAAAATGACTTCCTATGCAAACAGCATGTGCGAGAGATCGGCCTTCCAGAAAACTGGGGACGGGATTAAAGGAGGCTCACGCTCGGCACCGGGACAGCAACGACACGGCTGCAAGCCTTGCTGCAAGTGCTCGGGAGGGAGCTGACCTGCATCGCCACGCGAGCCCAGTCGGGAGCACGGCCGGCGGGAGCTCGCGGCCGAGTCGGCTGTGCGGTAGGGGCGTCTTTCCAACCTCGTAAAGGAGCGTCGGACTCGGCCACAGCACTCTCAGGTCTGGCCCACAGCCTGTGTGACGAGCCCCTCCCTCTAGCGAGGACGGGAGCTCTGTCGAGGAGTCTGTGAAAAGTACCCAGGAGGCCTGCAAACACAGACCGCTGACCGAGGGAGGACGCCTGCTTACAGGTACTGTGGGCCACCTCACGTGGTGCCGGTCCTGTACCTGCGTCCAAATCCGGCCACCTGACAGCCCTCGCTACGTCCACAGTGTGCAAACACATTTTAGGGGGAGGGACATGAATTTCACCCTGACCCCCAAGCCGGCCAATTTACCATTTGCAGGGCAAATAATAGATACTTTGAAAAGCTGAAAGTCTCCACGGGAGCTGAACGTGGTACCCACGTTAACAAGGCAGATCGTAACCAGTTAGGACCACCAGCCCGACCGGCGGCACGCCGAGGCCGGCTCCGCGAGGAGCCACACGCAGACACAGACACGCCACGTCTGGGCACATGGAGCACAGGCCACAGAAGCCATCCTTCCCCGAAGCATAAGCGTCACAGAGCAGCCTCCGAGTGCGGCCCACAGGTCACAAGCTCCGCTCACACTGCCACGTCCACACAGGGCCTGGGTCACACGGTAGGCCGCGCTCCCCACGGGACAGCAGTCGGCAGCCTTGGGGCAGGACGGTGACCCTCTGGGCAGACTGACCCAGCCCCCGAGGGAGGCAAAGGACGGCCTCAGGCCGGACGCTGCACCTCCTTCCGGTCCCAGCCCGGCACTGCTGCCCCCAGCCAGCTGTCCCGGTGGCCTCTCGGGAGCTCCCCAAGGCACAGGCTCCCGGAGAGCTGGCCGGCCGGTCCTGCTGGGCCTGCAGTGTGGCTCGGACCCGGTGGGGAGCCGCCTAGAGTGGGAGCCAGGCACGCTGCAGACAGACGCGGGCGAGGGGGTGCCGAGCGAGGCACGCGCCCACGCCCCCCGTCCCGCCCAGGCAAGCAGGGCGCACGATGCAAGCACGGGGACCTCGGTGCCACTGCCACCTGCACCTACCTGGGCACGGAAGTGTCGACTGACAGTGAGGACGGATAGGGTTGCCTGAATCCACCCGTGACGGGGTATACAGGCTGCCCTTGCCTGAGGTCACAGAAGAAAGGAACCCATCAATGACAAAACACGCCACTGGCCACGACAAGCACTCCACAGGGGAGAAGAGGGGGGACATCCCCACCCAGCGTGGATCTGCGGCCCTTCCTGCCCTGCCCACTCAGGACACTGGTTCTCGGTCTGCCTGGGGGACACCTCCAGCCGACATCAGGGCTCCATCTGCAGACTGACTGCCTTCCACGTTCCCCTTCTGGCCCCACCGCCCTCCAAACATGTAGGCCATTGCTAACTGCTGAACACAGAGGGCTGTGAGCAAGGCACAGTCGGCCCTGCAGAGAAGGGCCAAGCCGCTTATTCATCAGGGCCTTCGATTTTCGGAGAAGGGAAGAGATAAGGAATGCAACTTGAGAGGAAAGCGAACAGTTTAGCAGACTGCACCCTTCCCCATGTACACGCACGCTGCCAGGAGACACAGGGCTGCTGGCTGGAGCGATCTCTCTCCACCCCGGGGAGCCCACCAGCCCTGCTCCCACACCCAGCCTGCTACGCCCCTCCCGGCCGTACAGCGGCCAGCCAGGACTCGGGCTCTCTGCCTGCTGACAGCTACGTTCAGACAGAATAACTGATGGAGGTGTGCTAGTGTCCACATGGCCAGTGGAACTCAGTTACCGACAGAGATTCACTGTGTGAGAAGGAGAGACAGGAGAGGAGACGGGTGGGGAGAGCACGCGAGATCTGAAGGCAAAGAGACAGCGCGGGTGGGACGAGGCAGGGAGAGGGAGAAGGCTGGCATGTCCGTGGCACCGTGGCCCTTCCCTGTGAAGAAGCGCCTGCCCAGCCGGAGCCCCGTCTCCAGGGCGTGGGGATGGCAGAGGGGTGGGCAGTGGGAGCAGGGGAGGTGAGGTGCCAATGACCAGGTGAGCGAAGGAGGCTACGCGACGTGGGCCCGTCCTCCCTCCCCGACGAGCCTCACTCGCAGTTCAGAAAACTGCAGGCGGGGAGTAACACTGCTCTGCGAGGCACTCCCACGGGGAAAGGTGCCGGTGTGGGTGTGAGCGCCCGGGGCACGTGCATGCCCACGGCCCAGGGCTGGAGGAGGGCGGGTGGGTACAGCATGGCAGTCCTGTTGGGGCGTCTGTCTGTATGTCTTTCTTGCTCATGAGATAAATACATTTTAAAAATAAAATTCAAACTTTTGAAGACAGAAGTGAGAATGCTTTTAAAAATAATAAAATAAGGGCCAGCAGACGGCACAGCGGTTATGTTGCTGGACTTCACGCGGGCAACCACGGTTCAGGCTCCAGAATGGGTAGTTTCAAACTCATGCCAGGCTTGTGTGCATACATGCCCTGACCCCAGGAGGAGAATGGAGGATGGCGTGGTACGGCTATGCCCCGGGGCGTGATTTCTCTTTTCTCTCACTGTCTCTCTGGCAAGCACACGTGCCCCACCACAAAAGCTTAAGGTAAATAATGAA